CGATTGCTCCAGCCCAGCAGTCGGCGTCGACCTCGATGACCTGCCACTATCCCAACGCCGTGCGTTGATCCGACAGAGCAGTATGCCTATGCAGCCCCAGCAGGCGCTTATACGCCAGCGTTCAGGGCTGCGAAGTCCTACGCCACCTGCCACCTCTCACCCTTCCCCACGCGCAACACCAGAGTCTACCACTTTCGACTCACACCAGCCTCTCCGTCATAGCACAGTACCTACCGAAGCTGTTCGCCAGGCGCAGCTCGCCAAATTCCGCAACAGCGTTCAAGCTGACCTCCGGGTCAACGCACGGCCAAAGACGTTGGCCCGACACAGGTCTGTCGGAGGTGATGGCTTCCACCACGGCCCGCCTCTTTCGGGGGGGTTGCTTAATTTAGGAAGTACCACCTCCATGACCAGTCTCAAGGGTGCTTTCCAATCCGTAGGAGATCGGCACAGTGGAAACACCCCTGGGAGTAGTGTTGAAATCCAGAGGAACATTGACATTCAACGCGGGGTGATGATGGAGCAAAAGGAGGCCGAGGCGGCGAGGCTGGAGAGCACGAGGCTGGAGAGGGAGGGGAGGCAGAGGGAGTTTGAGGAGCGGATGAGGAGGGATCGGGGGATGTTGGAGGCGCACCGGGATGCCATGAGGAGGATACAGAGGGGTGTGAGGGATGTTTGAGATGTCATGACTTTTTTTTTTTTTTTTGCGAAAAAGAAAACAATGATGTTATGGGATGAATTGGAGAAATATGACGACGAGATGGCAAAACGTCGGACGTATAGCGTGAGACAGGCGTGTCTGTTTTGCCACTACTGTTGTATTTGGCTTGCGGGGGATGTCTGATGACTTGTTTGTTTTTGGAAACATGACCCGGAGATGAGTACGAGTACGATGACGGCATGGCGGTACGGTTTTACGGAAGATTGATGTATACAGGTAGCTTTTAATCAAGATTGGGGGGGGGGGGTTGTAATTACTTGCTGAGTCTTTTGTGCATAGCATGACGGTTATTGGGGAGGACAAGGTAGAAAGCGAATGGGATGGATGGGGGTATAGATTCCGGACTGGATGGGTTAGAGAATAATTAATAGTATATTGAGTAGTTGTTAGAGTCAGACCTTTTTGTGGGTTATGTTTGTTGGTGATGTTTAGCTATCCCCGAAAAAACGGCACGCACCCAGCATCATGATATATGTTTCCCAGTATTACAGAACAGAGTTGTAATAAAGTCTGCATTCCTGATAGAGGTAACCTTGTATTAAATCCCCTTTCAACTATCATTCAACGCCTTTGAACTATCCTCACAGGCCCATCGATACACATTCAACACCTAGAAACCATCTTCATAAACCCAGTAATTATCTTTAAAGATGACCTTTCTGCATGCAAGATTCGCCATACTCTGCCCTTTGGTCGATGCATGTTCGCCAACCGGGTCACCTTTTACTGTATTCTTGCCGGCGCTGCGCTTGATCTACTGACTATTCTCAAAGACATATCAACTATCTTTGACGGCCCGTTCCAAAACCCAGTCACCATCCTTTCATTCCACCTTGTACCGTCTTCGTCATCAAGGACTGTCTCAAACCCTTGAAGCCTTTCCAGTGTCTCATCTTATCTTCATCGAGTAAAACCCAGTCTTCCAACAACGGAGCCATCAAAGACATTACTCATTTGTGGATATATAAAGCTCGGTTGAGTCATGCAGCGCTCGCAAACACAGCTGATCCAAGGCTCGGATGGATGATATTAGGCTAGTAAACGCTGCTGATAATGTTCATTCGAGCCCGCGAACGGTGGTGAAAGAGAGTTTGGATGGAAAGCTGCCAGCTGCAAGCGCCGATAAAAAGATGCTGGGGTAACCATATACAATAGGCATAATAAACAGCAAGACAATATCAACGCTTACAAGCGCCCCAAAGCAAACTCCGAGAAAGGGTCCGTGTTGGGCTGGATCACCGACCATGACAGGTGGGTTGTAAAACCAAGGGATATGGAGAATATCGTGTTCGGATAACTTGGCCGCCTCGCCAACGATGGCGATGTCGCAGAGTATGTACGGTCGACCTTTGGTCTGGTGACAGCATAAGGAGTTGCCAGCACAACACCTGAAAACTGCTCCAGATACTGAGCGTAGACGTCCTTGATGAGCCCTCAAATCTCTTCGGTCATCGCACCGGTGCATGTATCCAGCGTCTGTTGGAGGTCTGGAAAGAGGTCCGCGCGTTCGCTCACGGCGAAGAGGTATTCGACATGCGGGCCCTCGCTTCTCGCCGGAGGAAGTACGATTTCGGACTCGGCTGCGTCTCGTCCTCGTGTTCCGGGGAGTGCTGCAGGTGCGCTCGCAGACGAGAGCGCCTGTTGAAGGTCGGGAAAGCGGTTTAGGTGATTCAGATAATACTTGTGAAGTGACTGATGCAAACCAAGCTCGGGATTACGTGCTTTGGCATAACGAAGACTGGTTGCATGCGCGTCCATCGTCATCTTCGCAGGGAAATAGAAGGCGAGGAGCTGATCAGCGACTTGGACAACGGCCGCTTGTGCGATGATTTGGGCATGAGCCACCATTTGTGATGGCAAACGCCGGATCTTGATCTTGAGTTTGTTGTCTGCTGCTGCATGAAGATGCTTCATCACGGCCTTCTTGGTGGTTGTTATGTCCCTAGCACCAGGAGTCCCAAGTCTAAAGTCAAGATGGGGAAAGACGATGTTGATTGAGAAGGAGGCAATCTGGGAAAGGGCAGCCTGGGATACGACAGCGCGGGATCGGACGAGATAGGTACTGTGCGACTTGATCTCATGAAAAGCCGGTACTATGCCCGAGTCAAGAAGATTGCCCGCGTCCCGTTGCTGAAACAAGCCTACAAGCTTGGCGAGGTGGGCGTCTGGTCCGTCGCCTTAGGGAGTGCGTCGAAGCCTCTCAATGTTAAGCTCGGCATTCCAAATAGACAAGTAGATGTCAATGGGTGGGATCAGACGGTCCCAGACAGGACGGAAGACCTCGTCCAGCTTCGGTGCAGTGCTTTGGTTGAGCTGTGGTAAGGTCGGGGACTTGAAGATGGCAAAGAACGGGTGCTGGTTCTTGCGCTCGTCAACCTCGAGAGGAGAGGAAACTCCTGCTGGAGAGTAAGCTCGACCTGTCCTTGCGCGTCCACGCGCTGCTGTGTTTGAGGTAATCGGGAGGAAACGATAGCTGATCGCTAGGAAGCCATAAAGAGCCGCGAGCACACCAGGCAGGTGGTCGTCCAGGCACGAAAGATAATACTTGGTTTGGGCGCGAGCAAGCCACACTTGACCGCCAGCAGGCGGGAAGCTCACCTTGTGCTGCAGAAACGTTAGTGATGGTCAATGAAACAACCAATGTCGAACATACCTCAATAGTAACCGTCTGAGAGCTAGGATAGGGAGGAAGCTCTGAGTAGGCGTTGACTTGGCAGTTGGAGACAGCCAAAGATGTTGAGATCAAGACTGTTAAGTTGTGGGAGAGTTTGAATCGATATCGTGTTTGGATTCATCACCATCTACAAACCCATCAGTGGCCGTCTAGTACAAAACACAATAAAAGTCGAAAACATACCTCGATATCGATCGCTTTTCGGCCCATCCTCAATACACCCCTAGTCGAGGTAGTGGGGGAGCTCTGAGGAGGTGTTGACTTGGTGGCTAAGCTGGGTTGAAGATGCTGAGACAAAGATGTTGAGACGAAAACTCTAATTGCGGGCAGTAGCAGGGTGAATTAGGGCTTCGATTTTTTTGTGCAAAACAGGTTCGCGTTTTAGGCAGGGCAACAGCTCAGGGAAGGAACGTGTGGGGTTGAGGTAGCGAGGCAGGAGCGATAGCCCACCTTCCCAAACGCTCCTTCCTTGTGAAGAGTATTGTCTGGCTTCGTTCAACTTCAATAATTACATATACGAGAGTGATGATATGGTATTGACGAAATTCCCATGGAAGGCATTTAAGATAGCCGAGAGGAGGTGTACAGAATAGATGCTTGGACACCTTAGATAGCAGATCATAAATAGGACATACTGGCAGGCAGGACAATGACTGGAACCACAAGGACCTTCAAAAAAAAGATGACATCTGTGTCAGACAAATTTTGCCCTCCCCAACCGAGATGCTATCAATGACATGAAGCTGCTCTCGAGGTAAAGAGTCACAATTAGACAACCAACTTTACAGACACCCCATACTCAGTCACAGCCCCCTCAGTTACCCCGTAACGGTTTTTTGGGGGGTGGAAAGAGATGACATATCACCCCATCTCTTAACGCTGTATTGAACAAAGCTGATGATTTATACAACCTCATAATTCCTTTCACCCCCCCCCTCCCCTTGCTGCCCCTCTGTCACCCATAAAAACAAAGTGTATCCCATAAACATATATACTCCTTCCCCATCCTGAACCCAAACTCCAAGCCACAAAAACGCCCATGTCCAAATGCCTATGCTAGTACGCCACACAAAAACAAATGCTAACGATCTTTAAAGCCAAAGTCTCCTTCCCAATAAACACACCCACCTACCCACCCTAAAGAAAACAAGCACAAACAATGCTAGGTCAGGTTATAAAGTCTCCACACTATTATATCCCCTTCTCCCCTCCCCCCCCGACGTCCTCGCTCTAGCCAAAACCCCCCCATCCTCTTCACTTTGAGAAGCCGCTCTTGACGGGGCAGCACTAACACCCAGGAACTCCCCTAGTGTATGACTCAAACTTCTTGCCCGCCTTCTGATAAACCCCGTTTCATTACCAGTACTTTCCACCCCCGCGCTGACAGTTTGTTGACCCTGGCCCAGACCCTGTTCCGTGTCTGAGACCTCTTCTGACGGGACAAAAAGGCTGTTTCTGAGAGAAGGTCGGTTTCGTTTGTGGGTTGGGAGGAGTTGGGTTGGGGACCCTTCCAGATGTGATAACAATTTTGTCTGTCACCACTGCTGGTCAAGGTGGTGGAGAAGGGAGAGGGGGAAATAACTGGGTTTCCTCCCGCTGTCACGCCTACTGTGGTGAAGATCCTCGGAATAGAGGGTGGCTTCGGGGTGTGGTAGGTGGGATGGTGGTTATTGGTGGGGGCGTTGAAGACAAAGTCACCAATGGGTTATGGTCTGTATCTGAGACTGCCGCTGACGGTATAACGGAGGGAACGGAATCCGAAGAAATGGTATGTGCCCCCATCCCTGGGTGGCGGAAATGGTTATGATTAGGGGGCGTGCTGTCCCTCCATGGACCTAACAAAGGCGCATCCTCGTGGTCTTCATCGTAATCGTCCTCGTTGATGAGAGAGGGTTTCTGCTTGGAAAGGGCGGCTAAGGGTTTGTTTGTGAAGCTCACGCGGGAAGACCGCCTGGATCGTCCTACAACTGCCGAGTCGCTACCTCTGCGGGAGGAGGTCCGGGCAAGGGAGTTGGTGCCGGGATCTTGGTTGGAGAGACCGATGGTTTCTTCTATGCCTTCGGCGTCGGAGAGGGCGGCTTCGTCTTCGTCGTCGTGGCGGGGCCGGCCGCTCGTGATGAGGAAGACGCCGAAAAAGGTGAGGAGACAGCCACCGATGAATTTGGCGGCGCGTTCCTTGGTAGTGCGCTCAAAGTCGCGGTAGAGGACAGCGCTGCCGATGATGACGGAGAGCGTGAACAGGACGAATTGGATCGGGATGACTTGGGTGGAGTCGAATCTCTGGAGGGCCTTGTTGAGGAAGCGGACCTGCATGATGGCCGTTGAGAGGAGGACGAAGAGAAGGACATAGGTGACTGGAGTGGTGAAAGCACCGAGGAGGGTTGATGAGAGCATCGAGGATACACCCTTGGTTGAAAGCGCTGTGTAGCCTCCAAACAAGCCAACCAGGCCCAAATCGATAAGAATGGTACGATTCCCGTACCGAGGGCTGAGATACATCAACAGCGCAATCAGACCGCAGCTGGCGCCCATATAAATCTTGAACTCCATGGTGGTGATGGCATCCCACACCTCGTGCGGCCCCATCTTGGTCTCCTCCGAATCTGCGCTCAAGACCACCGTAACCGCGCCTCCGATAGCAATAACGACACCCCAGAAGTCGCGTTGGCGGAATATCTCCTTGAAAAAGATGGGCGCTATCACACAATTCGAAACAAGAGCAACCACGCCGAGCGGGCTGACAATAGACGCCGGCGCAAAGCCATAGGCCAAAAAGTTGCCCATCTCACCCACCGTGATGAGAACCTGCCCCAACCACCAGTAAGGGTCCTTGAGATACGTCGAGGGGACCTTGGCTTCGTCGCTGTCAGAGCTTCCGCTCCAGCGAGAGTCGTCGGACCGGAACGAATGCGTGAGGGGGTCCGTCTCGGTCGAATCACGGGTTTCTTCACTGATCTCACTCAGCACACCGTCCAAGGGGGATGTCTCGGCCGCTCCATAGCCCCCTAGTCCAGAGCTTTGCGACGCAGAATTGGCATGCTTCAGTGCCTGCCTTGCGCGCTCCCGCATTGCCACTTTGTGTCTGTGTAACCGAATATGCGCATACCGCTGGACGTTGAGAGCCAGAGCAATGAGGACATTGCCGCAGATGGCGGTTATTATGCCGATTAGACTCGACCAGTTCTGGAGATCCTTGTCGGGATGGTCCCCATCGTCATGCCCACCGCCAGCATCGTTGGAAAAGGAGGGTAGCCAGCCGGGCCAGGCGCGGCCTGTTAATGGCGGACTCGAAGCTGGGTGGAGGTACATCTTGGTGTTGTTGTCGTCCCCCGGCAAACTGAAGCGCACCGGTGTCGCTCGGTTTCGAGGTTGGTCATGGGTGGTTTGTGGGAGTAAGTGAGTTGGTCAGTCGGTCGGTCGGTCTAGCTGTCGGGTTCCGAGTAGTGCTGAGTGCTCAGCACTCGGTACTCAGTAGTAAATTTGGTTGTAATTTCTCACACTAGATATGGGTCGTTGGTTTCGTGCCGCGATGCGAAGTGGCGCTGGCGCACCATCGAACATGGGGGAGAAGTGGACCGGCCATCTGCCTGCCGCTCTTGTCATCCTACCCCAGTCCAGCTGGAAAGGCCTCTGATTGGCTGGTCGATCAAAACCAGAGAGACATATATCAACACCACATTTCATTCATAAACATATATGCTTAACATCTCCGATTCACCTCTCAAGTCGAAAAGCCTCCCACATGATTGTCGACAACTTAGACTCTACGGATCAGCAGGGGGGCTGTATAAAGCCTCTGTTGAGGAGTGCCACCCGCCCTTGATATTCCCCAAGCATGCCCAGATCACTGTTTCTCGGTCCGAGACAGGCCCCGATGGGAAGCCTGCTCTTCCAAAAAAAATGTCGAACTGGAGGGCATCGACACTGATGTCTCCAGCCCAGTCTCTCTCGGTGGAACTGCCAAAACTCATAGCCACCTTTCTTCACTAAAGTGTCTACTCGCCCGTCCGTCTCGCCAATGAACAAGGCTGGGAACCCACCCCCCGTGGCTACACACCACCCAAGTCCTTCGCTCTCGACGGTACTAACCCGCTCGATGTTACTTATCGTCCCGAATATGCAGAACAAAAGCCAATTTTCGGCTGGCTCGATGCATTCGAGGACCTGATGCGAGTCCACTCTGGTCTGGAGCTATCAGACTTAGACACGAAGCACGCCACCGTCCACAAACTATGGCATCTTTCCTGGACGAATAGAAGCGACCTGGAGTTCCCCAGACTTCGCCATGTGCGAAACATGATGTTTCACATCAACACGTGGTCAAACAACTCTTGGCATCTCTGGTTTCCCTTATTTCTTCGCCAGGGGGGGAGACATCACCAAACACTCCCGAAGAGTGGCTCAAGGCTCGGGAACAGGAGAGGGAATTCTGGGCTTCCCGGGATGAGCTGACGGAGCAGCGCAAACGGTTTCAAAAACTGCTCGGCATGGATGTGAACAATATTATCCAAGCCCAATGGTTTCGAGGGGTGCGCAATCCCCCCGAGGAGTACCTGGCCGTGGACAAGGACGGCTCGTCTTTCTTCGGCGCATTGGCTTTGTCTCTTCCATTGATGCACTACCAGCTCCGAAATGGAGACCTGGTTGAGCATGAAGCGGCCTTGTCTCAACGACCCCCCGATCAAAGTTGGCCTCTCGCCACCATATTGACCCTCATAAGCATGTTCACAGATCATCCTGTTAGGCCTGCCCGCGACTATAGCCTGTTGGTTAATCAGGGCCGTTTTTTCCACTATTGGGATGGCATAGTAAAAATTAGGGATAGGGTGGGCGAGGGGAAAGAATGGTTCATCAAGGATTTCTTGGGGAATCTCCATCGCCACCACTCCCTGATGCTACAAGATGTGGAGAACCCTCACAAACCTGCTCTCAGGTGGCTCTGCCAACAATTTAGCCCCAAGAAGGAGACACTCGAGGAGGGCACACTCGAGGAGGGCAAGGCGAAGTGGGACAGGAAACTGGAAGAACTTTTCGTATCGTAGACGATGTGGGAAACTTTGCGCGTCGTTAAACAAGGCTTTTTTGAGGGTAAATATGCTCCAAAGGCGTATTTAGCTCTAGGATGACGCTCTAATAATGCGTCACTACCATTGGCGACAGATTTTGTGCAGGTCATCATTTCATCTGCAGGCTGATGAAGCCCAGGCCATATTTCCATCGTTTCTCCGGGGGTATCAGGGCGAGGTAAGGGTCTGCTCAAAGAAAAAAGCGAGCGTGGAGTATCTAGCATGGAAGAAGAAGAAAAGGGAGCTAATCCTGGGGATATTTTGAGCACACGCACACACAACCTGACGAGCAGAAAGGACACACAACAACCACAGTAAATCTCCCTCTTACAATACACAAACACCCACAAGAACAGCGCTTCCCAAATACCCTCAAAAGATAGGACGACAAAAACACTTCCCCAACCCCTCACATACAGCTCCGCCTTTCAGAAACTATAAACATCAAAAACATAAACCTACCAGAACAACAAACCAAACACCACATGCCTAACCTCCCAAAACACATATCAAAACCCAAAAAACTAAAGGTCCTACCCGGACTCGAACCGGGGTTGCCGGAAGAATTTCTCTTACGTACTTTGTATGATGGAGCACGAGAGATTGTTTTCAGAATCCGGAGTGATAACCGCTACACTATAGAACCAATTTATTGGAACATGCCCATACAGGTCAGACAACTGCCATATCACTCAACATATGTGGTGGCGGCGTGGAACGGGATACAGAAAAGCACTCGCCAACATCCCAACACTGAAACACCTCAAGGTCAATTCATTCCGAGGGGAAAAAAAAAAGAAAGAAAAAAACCAATGAAACAATCCTGTTGTATCTTTGGGTGTGGTATGTGCAATTCAAAACTATGGAATGAAATTGAACAAAAAAGTGCAGTGTGACAGACGATTGTTTGAGAACCAACCGTCAAATCATACACAACTGGCGAGTTCACAGTCCTTAATGCGAAGTCATCATAGTAAAATCAAAGCAAAGCCCCCCCAATGCCTCAAAATTCATAATTACCCCTCTCACTATTTACATTTTTTATTTCCCAACCCATGTCATTATCTTACGTTTTTATTCTACCATCTCATTATCCCCTCATAACTAAGCCCAGCTCTCCAAATTCCTCAACTCACACCCATTACCACCCTCCGGCCTCTTCGTCAACCTACCCAAAGTATACACCTTCTCACCAGCCTCCTCCAACCCCTTAACAACACCCTCAACACCCTCAGCAGCAACAGCAACCACCATGCCAATACCAGTGTTGAACGTCCTGCCCATCTCGGCGGGCTCAACGCTCTCGGCAAGCCACTTGAACACAGGCGGCAACTCCCACGCCGCGACATCAATCTCAGCAGAGAGGTGCTTGGGCAACATGCGGGGGACGTTCTCAGTCAGACCACCACCAGTGATATGCGCCATACCCTTGACAGCAGCAGCACCGGGCTCAGAAGCCAGAACCTTGAGCAAAGGCTTGACATAGATCTTCGTGGGGGTCAAAAGCGCCTCGCCGACAGACTTGGAGCCGTCCCATGGGCAGGCATCTGTGTACTCAAGGCCACACTTCTGAACGACCTTGCGGACGAGGGAGAAACCATTGGAGTGAACACCAGAAGAAGTAAGACCGATGAGGACATCGCCTTCAACCATGGCATCCTTGCGGGGGAGACGCTGCTCAGCCTTCATGACACCAATGGCGGCGCCGGCAGCATCGTAGTCATCGCCAGTGTAGAGGTCAGGCATCTCAGCCGTTTCACCTCCAACAAGAGCACAGCCAGACTCGAGGCAGCCCTTGGCAACACCCTCAACGAAAGAAGCAGCAACGGACACATCAAGGCGACTGCAGCCGTAGTAATCGAGGAACATGAAGGGCTCAGCACCCTGGACGACAAGATCGTTGACGTTCATGGCGACGAGATCAATACCAACGGTGTCGTGCTTGTTCATCTTCTGGGCAATGATGAGCTTGGTGCCGACACCGTCGATGGCACCGACAACGATGGGCGCACCGGGGAAACCGGCCTGGGAGAGATCGACCTCTCCACCGAAGCCACCGATCACAGCGTCGGCGCCAGCGCGGCGGGTGGTGGCCACGGCAGCCTTGATGCGGTCGACAAGCTCGTTTCCGGCATCGATGCTCACACCAGCTTGGGCATAAGTGAGCTTGCCAGAAGCCTCTGACTCACGGAAAGCACGGTGAGCAATGTCGTTGCGGTAGTACATGCCATCAAAGTTGATGAGCTTGACGCCCTCATACGCCTTGTCAACAGCAGCACGGAGAGACTCGCCAACAGCATTCGCAGCAATGACACGGCCACCATCAGTGACCAAAACGTCACCAGTGAGCTTGGTACCAGCGTGGAAGATGGTGATATCTTGGGGAGCAGCTGACACCTGCATGGGGATATTCTTGGGGTATGACTCGGGGTAGCCAGGGGCAGCAACCACCACGGTGGTGGAAAACTTGTTGGACACCTTGACGGGGACGTCCTCGAGGTAGGGGATAGGGCCGGCGCAGGCGTACATGATCTTGGCGAGATCGGACTCGAGCAATGGCAGAACCGTCTGGGTCTCCGGGTCGCCAAAGCGGACGTTGTACTCGAGCACCTTGGGGGTGCCATCAGGGGCAATCATCAGGCCAGTAAAAAGGCAGCCCTTGAAGGGGAAGCCATCCTTGCGCATACCATCAATGGTAGGCTGAAGAATCTCGCGCTCAACACGAGCGAGGAGCTCAGGGGTAGCGAGCTTAGTGGGCGCATAGCATCCCATACCGCCAGTGTTCAGCCCAGTGTCGCCATCGCCAATTCGCTTGTGATCCTGGGCAGCAGGCAGGGACTTGATCGTGGTACCGTCGCAGAAAGACAGGATGCTCAGCTCGTCACCAACCAAAAATTCCTCAATGACGACCTCGTTGCCAGCATCACCAAACGCCTTGTCCTGCATGATATCCTTCAAACCCTGCTGAGCCTCCTCCTGAGTCTGGGGAAGGATAACACCCTTGCCAGCAGCCAAACCAGTGGCCTTGATGACAACATTGTGCTTGACAGTCTTCAGATACTCGCTGGCCTTTTCGTAGTCGGAAAAGTTCTCGTAGGCGGCAGTCGGGATGTTGTGCTTCTTCATAAAGTCCTTGGAAAAGGTCTTGCTGCCCTCCATGCGCGCGGCCTCCCTGGAGGGGCCAAAGACGGGGATGCCGGCCTCGCGGAAGTAGCCCTCGATGCCGTCGACGAGGGGCGCCTC